AGAATCGCCCGGTAGAAAATGAGCTTTCCACCCTTGTCTCCTTCTTATACAGTAGAGTAACAGTCAACGCAAAATCTACCAAATCGCTCAAATTCGCCATTTAGAACCACAGAAATGACAATACAGGGCAAGTGAGGTAGGTTTACATTTATTTTGAGCCTTAACATAGACATTCCTCGATATAAGTTTACGATATTACAACTCTTCAATACTCTCCCATACATTTCTTTATATTTCGAACAAACGACCAGACACCCTGCTTGTGTGGGCCCCCTGTGGATTAGTTTGGAGAATTTGTTGTTTGATCGAGGTAACAACTTCTACAGTGGAATCCCGATTTCTCGAACCTCCAGGGGAAACACCAATTGGTTCGAGAAATCGGGAGTTAGAGAAATCGGGCCGGGGATGAAATTACAAATGATGCAAATCCAAGGGAAACAAGGTTTGGTTCGAGATATCGGGAGGTTAGAGAAACCGAGGGTTCAAGAAATCGGAATTCCACTGTACCTGTTAAGTTTGAGTACTCTCATTACCTGTCTGCTGGATAACGTATGGATATCATAGGAAGAAGTTACATGTTAATCACTTCTAGGAATAATAAATCCCTTCCCCTGCAGAAGCTCCCAACTTGAATTTTTATCACCTATTTTCCATGGCCGCTTTAAGGCCCTAGCATAATGTAACATATTCTTTCCTGCAAAAGTTAAGTAGATCACAAACGAACACCAACATAAATTTCGCATCCTGCAAATTATCACATGAAAAAATCAACTATTGTCTAACTAAAGCTTGACCTTACGTTAGTTCCCCAAGGCGTTCTTTCAGATTCTCCAAACTGGGAACGAAAGCATCCAGAAAACCATCAGTCAGAGTTTCTGTCAGATTGCTTTCGCTGTGATGATTTTTCTCTCTAGTCTCCGCATCTTTAACCGCACAGTTATCACTCATCTTTCTGAAAACAGTAATTCAATGTTTTGCTCGATCCTCCTGAACGAAAGCAAAATGGATTACCTTCCGACAACTAGCGACTGGGAACCGAGACAATATTGACGATTACGAAAATGTCTTAATAAGGAGTGTTTACGATAACCCGCTGACCATTTACAATGGTGCGAAATTTCGAAATCGTTACAGAATCGTGACTTGTCTTGAATATTTTGAGGGGCCATGGAGGACCGGATTCTACCCGGCAATTGTGAAAATATTTACTCGTTTTTATGCTCCTTTTTATGGCACTGTTAATATTCTACTTCGTCAGATTTTTAGCGCCATGTCCGATGTGTCACCCTTCGGTGAGCGAGTCGAATTGAGGCGCCGACAAGGGTCATTTTCGGTCAGGAAAAACAGTTGGAAAGATTTGCAGGTCGCCGTGAAACAAACTAAATCTTTGCAACAAAGTCTCGTAAATCGAGTACCGCATTCATTCACATTTTGCGACAACAAGTTATATTTTCTTGCCGTTCCGTTTGGAAGCCGCGAGAACACAATCCACTATGTCGATCTGCCTGGACAACACAGTTCGCCCAATGGCGAGAAAGAAAACGATTTTTCTCCTCTTCCGTGGAAACCTCTGCTTGACTCGTTTAAGATCAGTCGTTCCTTTTCGGGATATTCAAGGGAAGAACAGTTACTGCGGGAGAGGAAACGCCTTGGAGCATTTGGAATCACCGCTTACGATTTCGATGAGACATGTAGAAGGTTCATGTTTTCTGCGTCAAGTAGTTTGTATACGTGCACAGATTGGCGAGTTGACGAAGAGGTAAGCCCAACTTTACAGACTATATTTAGTGGTAAAGCGTTATGGTTACATTGCGTGGTTTTCCAATACAACGAGATCGAACGAAGGTTTTGGGTTCCTTTTAAATAAATAGCGTGATCTCGGGATCTTGGGAGTTTGTAGTTATTGCATAACATGGAAAAAAAGAATTGGTGATTATTTGCGATCTTCAATTTATTTTCAATTAAAGCATGGTAAAAGAACAGAAGTAAGCCCAGACTTTAGTTTCAAGTGTTCGTCTGATCAGTAATTGAGCACGCGAGTGATTAATTTAATCTTGTGAACTTGATGTTGTAATATTTACTTAGTCTGCAGTCAAGGTGAAATCACAAGTTATTTCGTTTGTTTTAGCGTTCGTCGCCCAGCTGGTTGTATGAAATGACAAAGAATAATGTTGCATCACCCCTCCGTCTCTCATATTCTGTAAAATTAGTTCTGGCTCTTTGTTTAGTAAAACAAGGTCTTCTTCGTGAATTAATTAAATTTAATACTTGCTTGACCGGGTTAATTATACAGATGACCCGAGAGATTCCCATCTGCAGAAAATCACCCTCCTGATTCTGGTAAAATTATTTTTTGCCAGAATTTCTTGTGTGTTATAGGGTCTTTGTGATGGGAGAAGGATGCTCAAGAAACCAAACAAATTTTACATTTGCCAGTTAAAGTTATGTTTTGAAATTCCATAGCGACCACATTTAGAGATTCAAGTCAGAGAGAAATTTAACCTTTTGAAAATTGTCTTCAAATGTGTTAAAAATGCAACCACAGCTGTCAACATTTTATAGTTGCTTAGCAACCTGACCAGTAACCTCTGACAAAAGAAATCTTAAACTTCCTTCCTTTTTATTACAATTTTTTGGTGTCGATCTGTTGGAACAACCAGGAGCTTCACAGAAAGGAATATTTGATTCCAACAATTTTTTTTTTGCAATAACAAACTGGAACAACAGTTCTTAAGAAGTTCATGATGTTGTGTTGCACACATAGCCAGGTCACTCAGTTTTTTTCTCGATGGCTGCATTAATTGTTGAATTTTTTAGCTCATTTGAAGAAAGTTTTTAACCAGTCGCAGTACGATAGGTACACATCTGACTCCTAAAATGTGTCAAGAAGGAAATTTTACCTATAACAAACTTTTAAATCTTGACTCCCAAGATCTGGTTGTATATTCTCTCCTTCAGCAGAGAATGAGAATTTGGTGTTCTAGAGATCAAGGGGACAACTTCCACATATACCTGATAAGTTTGAGTACTGTCAGTTATTATTCGATTTAGTACCTGGGACACTTACTATATTTATCTCTGGTGCATGTACCTTTCAGAGAGGGCACTCATTCAAAACAGGGTGCTTGCAAGGAACAGGGCACTTACTTTTTTTAAGATAATATATGCAGGACACCCTGGATTTCACAGTCTCAGAGCACTGGGCTCCCTTCAATTTTTCTTAGACCACAGCCTTGATACATGATCATAGGATCTAAGACACTTGTTGTATATGCCAAGAGTATTGCTCCTGAAATAATTTATGTCATCAGTTTTTTTTGGTAAATGAATGAATTTATGATATCCTGTCTCCTGTTCATTCAGGATGAAAACAGGCAACCAATAATTCCCGAGGAGTTGCATTCCCAGACCTCAGAGACAAAGATGGATGCAAAATTATGCCCTTGTGATCCTAACCTGGTAGCTTTTATTCACCGTAATGACGTTTGGGTCAATAATATTGTCACAGAGGAAGAAAGGAGATTGACGTACACAAATCAAGGTTCACCAAGTCCAATGGAGGAGCCAATATCAGCTGGTGTGGCATCATTTATAGTCCAAGAAGAATTTGATAGATATACTGGCTACTGGTGGCAACCAAAATTTAGCACTGATGAAAGTAAGTACCAATCAAGAATATTCCTTTTTGTTACAAGTGTAAACATTCAGATCTAAGCAATGTAAAGAATGTTTGCTGCATAGGCATTATTTCCTGTCAAAGGCTTGCTGAATTCTGGTGTCTGTTGCTGTACATGTACATGTATCTGAGATAACTGGAACATACAACTGTATATTTATGACAGAGCAAACAGTAAAACATGGATCACTGAATGTACAGGACATTATCCACTCACATGTGCATGGTCATATTTGAATAATCATAACATAAAAGTGAGCTGAAAAAAGGCCTTACTAGTTTGCATGATTGTGACAAAAATTATTAGACCAAGTGTTTGCTCTATTTCCATAGACCTTACAAGAACCTACAGAATTTTATTTGAAGAGGTAAATAAAAGTATAACCTGTAATTCTTACTCACCAAGATTTGAACTTTGTTGTTATTGTTTTTTTTTTGCTATATGATATTTTTACATACAAATTATTTCCTCTATTTACTAGGTGGATGAGAGCTCTGTGGAAATTCTTCACATTGTATCTGGTCCAGACAGTATGGTACAAAATAGTCACGTAGATAGTTACAGATATCCTAAAGCAGGTATGACTTTTTTCTCTATCCATGAATGAACTATGAACTATCCAATTTCCTAAGAATTTTCTTTTTACCAGGTTCATGTACTTTAGAAAGCTGCAGCTAGACTCAAATTAATTCCAGCAGCCAGATGGGGACTAGGGTATGTTGTGTTCTCTTGAGGGGTAAAGCTTTTGGGTAAAACCTGACCCTAAGCCAGGAGGGGAGTTGGGGTACATGGAAGGGCTTCTTTGTAAAGAAGGGGCAAGCTGGAGGAGAACTTTTGATTTTCTATTGTGTAGGTTGGTATGAGGTGTGTTTTATGGGCAAAACTTTTTCCTTATGGGTTTGGTAATCACCACAGAAATGGGAAGACCTTGCTCAGCCAATCATATACTTACTATAGGTTTATTTCTTTTTTTTTTTTTGGTTATTTCCTTCGTATGTTAAAAAGAATTGTGGCTTTTTTTTCCCAGGTTCTGCTAATGCTAAATCCAAACTTAAAATTGTCCAGTTCAGTATAGATACAAGTGGCAAGGTAAGGTGACAACATTCATGAAATCTTCATTTTGGCCTGAATTTACCTCCTTGATTACTTTAACTTAAATTGAAACTCAGCAAGGTCCATAGATATCCACATCTATCACCTTCCTGTATTGAAAATTAAGTTGGTTTTTACTTTCTTCAAATTAAACTTGGAAATTAGTGGGCAAATTTTCAAAGCTCCTTCAAGTCTCTCTTTTTCCAATTGTTTTGACTTACCAGCAGACTCATAATGGGTAAAATTTTGTAAAAATGACAAGTTGGATCATTTTGATTTTCAGGAACAAGTAACATAATTTTGTTTTTCCTTTCTTCAGATATGTGATCATGTGATTGAGTATCAGATGAGAGTTCCACTTTCAGAAGCATTTCCTTTTATGGAATACCTTGTTAGGTGTGGTTGGTTGCCAGATGGTGAAAGGTTAGACATTGTATCTTCAGTTGTTCATTCCCATTTTTATTCTTTCTTTCTTTTCCTTCAAATTGTTAGGTGACCACCCTACTGCAGAATCAATATGAAGAATTGAGAATTTGTTTTCATTTGCCTTACTTCCAGTGTGTATGCAGAAATACTTGATAGAAGTCAGCAGCACCTAGCTTTGGTTCAAATTCCTGTGGCATTCTTTGTTCCGGTAAACCATCCAGCAAATCAATTGTTGACAATAACAGAAGGCAGTCCTATGGTTGAAGTGCTAGCAGAGGAATCAAATGATATATGGATTAATGTGAGTTAATAATTCACTTTACTGTACAGTATTTTCTCCAATAAGTGACCTCCCCTGGATAAGCACTCACCCCCCCCCCCCAGGCCATGATATTAACCAGCAACCCTCTGTTATAAGTTGCCCTCCTTCCTCCCTCACTATCTTAAATATTATAGTAAGAGTACAAGCTTCAACTTAAGCAGAATCATTACAAGTTCATAGTTTTGTAATAGGTGCCTCTTTGATGAGGCACCTTCCTTCCAATAAGTGCCCCTCCTTTTAGCTGAAGCTTTAAATACACGCGTAGGCTCTTATCTGAGAAAATATAGTATTCAATTTAAGTGTACAATGTATCATGCAGCCCCAACCTTAAATCTACCAGCAGGAACTGAAGAGATGCAGTAGATGCTAGTGACTTCACTCAGAGTCAATAATTCAATGCATTCTCTTATTAATATTTCAACTAGAATTTCTTTCTATTTTCTTATAGGTTGCTGATCTCACTCACTTTTTGCGTATGAATGATTCAAGATTGCAGTTCATCTGGTCCAGTGAAATATCAGGGTTCCGTCATCTCTATTTAGCAACTGCCAACAGTAATCACACACTTACGCGTGCAAGGGCTGGTAGCTTTATTTCAGAGTGTTGTATCCATTATCCTCTTGTGACCCAGCGACAATTAACAGATGGAGACTGGGAAGTTGATGGTAAAGAGGTAGGTAAATTCATCTTTAAAAAAAAATTGTAAAAAGGTTGTCATTACAAGCCGATAGGCATCCATGGATGGCTGAAAAAAATTACTCATCATATTATTATTTCCCAGGGTGCTGGAAATCACCTCTCTCAGATTTCAAATTTTTCTAGACATGTTTGTGATGAATAAAGGCTGATAGTTTCGAAAGAAACTGTTTGGGGCTGCGTCGGTGGGAGTAACGAAATAATTTGGATATATCAACAAAGTTGAAATGGTAAATTGGCCACTGTAATGATTACAAGTTGTGTGTAGTACAACATGTAGGAGTGATTCACTTCCATTGGTTAAAGAAACATCCAAATATAATTTTAGTGCACAAAGCTGCAGGGCTGTTATTACAGGCAAACTTCTTTAATTCAAGTTTCCCAAATTGCAGATCTGGGTGGATGAAAATCGCAAACTCATTTTCTTTTTGGGTACCAAAGACACACCCCTGGAACAGCATCTGTGAGTATCAAACTTTATTATATCTCTCAGTTAATACCTGTGCTACTATGGGTCAATTTAGAGGGCTGTATTTCACTGTACAGCCCACTTAATTCAAAGGTTCATTTAAATTAAAAATTTTCCCTCCACTTCTGTAACTTACAGTACAGACCTTGAACTTGGTTAGTAAGAGGGTTACATTCACTGATCCAGTGAACCTAGGTTAGGCCAAATTTTTTACAACTTTTGGGTACAGTGTACTGTAGTTCCAAGAAGGGTAATTTGATCCTATGTTAAATTATTCACAATTAATAATACATAGTTTTGTTCCACATGAATAATTTAAATAACATGCATTGTAATTTTAGAAACTTTTAGCACTGAAACTTTCCCAAATCTTTGCCCACTGAGTCAGCCACCTTTATACTAGGGAGTTTGGTCAGGACGAAAAAAGTCTAATGTGTAAATTATGAACCAAAACCTATCATTCTTGTCTCTCATTATTAAATACCTAATTATATTAAGTAAATGGTTCATGTGCATTTTTGAATTGACAAAATATAGATAATAAAAGTGTTATCCAATTCCACTTGATTCAATAATTTATTAGAAAGTTAAGAAACCGATTTTCTTCAGATATGTAGTTTCCTACAAGGAGTCTATCTTCATGGAACCACAGCGCCTAACACAAAAGGGGTTTTCCCATGCTGTCTCTCTAAATGAGGTAATTAAAACCTACCACTCGTACTAGGTGACTGTTTGACTTGCTGATTAACTAAAACCTACTACTCGAACTAGGTGACTGTTTGAATTGCTGATTAATTAAAACCTACCACTCGTACCAGGTGACTGTTTGACTTGCTGATTAATTAAAACCTACCACTCGTACCAGGTGACTGTTTGACTTC